TTTGGAGCCAAAGGGTAAAATGGGAAAAGTTATATGTTAGGCTCTTTGCATAGGTTATGGTTATTTATTTGCCATGAGATAAACCAAAATAAACTAAATATATGTGTGGGGGTATTCATTACCTTTTTGTCGATATAAAGATCGCCAAAAACGGAGTTGAAACGAAGAAATTATGGTTGTTTGAAGTCGAGATGGATTTTGGTGAAAATTTGTGGCCACGGGGTAGGGATCACAACCCACGACGTGGGGATCAGATCCAACAACGTGGCAGTCTATCAGGCCCGAGCCCATGATTTTAGGGTTTCAACGTATTTAAGCTTAATGTTCTGCAATTTTTTTGGCATTTTATCAGCCTCCATCAACTCTACAACCCCTTGGAAGAAACCCTAGCCTCCACCTTCAAGATTTGAGTTTCTCGTCTCTCCTCTCTACTCTTTTGGGTGCTTTTTATGATCTTTTGATGAAGTTAAAGATCAAGAAGGCTTTTTTTTTAGTTGCAAGGAATGATGCTTCAAGTTTAGATCCATCAAAGACACTACATTTCTAGACTATTGTAAGTATAAAGTACCAACTTGCTATCTATTTCTTTAGATCTTGTCATTTGGGGTTTTTGGCACTTTTGGTCCATTATATGGGTGATCTTGGAGTTGAGTGGACTCTAACATCTTTTATTCAGTTTGGAATGTTTCTTGGACCTGATAGACTAAGAAAGTTATGATATTTTGCCTTCCCTTTTAGCCATGCAAGTTATCATGGTCCTTTAGGCCATTTTGGTGTATTAACGTTTAGATCAAGAATGATTAGGAATTACTATGGATAAATTTGGAAACTTTATGCCTCTAGACATCTTGTTGATTCAGAACTGGAAGTGGGGACTTGGTCTTAATAGATTAAGTTGAGAATTATGCATTTTTGGGTCCCTTTGGGACTTAAAGTCGAGATCTTGGTGGTTTGGACTTTCCAAATGGATAAAGTTAGAAACTTTACCTATTAAAACCTTGGAAAGAATAAGATATGAGATTTGGAGCTCTTGAAATCGGAAGAAAAAGGATTAAGCTCGTTTGAGCTACTCAGACCAGTCCCCACGGAATGGCCTTTGGTTGCCACGACCCGGCAAATGGGGAATCAACAGCTATTTTGGCATTTGGTGCCCACAATGTAGCCAAAGAAGGCCATGACGTGGAGGGATATTGTTGGCAGTTTTGACCTTAGATTTAACCGTTGACTTTGTTGGAATAGTGTCTAAGGCTGCAACTATATTAGGCAAGTATTTGACTCGGTTGTGCATGGTCCTTTTGGGTTGCCTTCACCATAGCAACTTGATGGATGATTTGTTAAAAGAGAGTAAATATTATAAGGAATAATATATGGTTATTTGATTAATATAAGTCATAAATTAATTGGAATTAATTTGGTGACTTAAAGAGATTAATTAAATAAGAGGGTATAAACTGTCAATTGTTTGATAGTTACACTTTAGATTATAAATCCTTATCCTAGATAGGATGGACGATTTCTAGGGCTTGGATAAGCCAAAATCTTCCATAGGGTTATCAAGGAAAGGATATGGATTAACTTAAAGTCTAAGTTATCCAATTAGGGTTAAAGCTGTAATCCTTAAGGAGTCTACAAGTATAAATAGACCCTATGAGTGAGGGAATTCGATAGACCATCAAAAGTAGAGATACTCTGGCCGAATTCCTCCCCTCTCCTCTCTCCTAAATCATCTTGCTTGCTATTGGTGTTTGTAAGCCATTAGAGGAGTGACATTTGTCTCTAGAAGCTCCAAGACAACAAGATCAATAAGGAATCCAAAGGTATGATTCTAGATCTATTTCAACGTTGTTATTTAACCTAATTAGCCATTAGAAGTCTTGGATTCAAAGCATGTTTAATTAGAAAGCCTAGATCCAAGCATTAGGGTTTTGCATGCGCACATAGGAAAGTTCTTATGGCTAAAACCCATCAGACTTTCTGACCAGTTTGACTTTTTGTCAAACTTGGGTAGAATTAAGTATTTGATTAAGGGTTGGTTTTGGTTGGGCTTTAGGAAGCGTGGGTTGGCTATTCTAGTGCTTAGGTAGCTGTTGGGCTCCTGTTGAGTAGTTTATTCATTGATTAAGTTGACTTCCATAGATGTAGGTATCGAAATGAAATCATTCATTGGTTTAGATTCGACACTGACTTTCCCTTTTCCATCGACAGTTCGTTTTTCCTCAACTTTTTTTTTGTGAACAACTTTCAACTTTCAAACAGAGAGATTCAACTTCTTTAATGAAGAACTGCTAGTTTATGACTCATTCTAGTAGCTTTCGGATGCAAGCTTGATTTTTTTGTGAGAAAACATTCTAGACTGATAAGGCTTTCCTTTGCCTTCGAGCCAGTGATTAATATTCTTCACATTAGATTTCCCTTTGAAAAATGAATCTTTAACTTGATGATTTGAAACGAGATTAGGAAAGTAAGGTTGTTTTGGTCTGAATTGTTCATTTTTCTTCCAATTGACTTCCAACTTTTTGAAATTTTGTTTTGGAAACATCGATTTTGCATGTGGTTGATAATGATTTTGAAATGTTTGTTATAACCGAAAAATGTTCAACTACAAACTTGTTGTTCATTTGAAAATCGTCTTTGATTCACTACTAGAAAAAAGGCCTTTTACGACGCGCAAAATACGACGCTCATTGATCTATGTTACACAAAGGAGAGTGACGTTAGAAAAATGTCATCTCTTCAAAAAATTTAAGGATAGAAGACACGCATTATTGCGCGCCCTTAAATTAGTGTCTAAAAAAAACACGGAGGGCACCTATAATAAAATGCGCGTCGTCTAAGGATGTCGCTTTATATTTTTTAATGGAACGCGCGTTCCATCCTTTAATAGTGGGGGAAAGGGGGAAATGAAATTTTTTCCTTTAATAATGGGGGAAAGGGGGAAATGAAATTCTGAAAAAATTAAAAACCCCGCCATGCTCTCCTCTACCTTCTTTCAATCGTTCTTCTCTCTCTCTCTCTCTCTCTCTCTCCCTCACTATTGTCGGTCCTCACACGTCAGACGACCGCACCGCCACCATTAGACCCACTTACCACTCCAAATCGTCATTGTTGCTCCTCTCTTAAACCACTACAACCACCCTTCTTTCTCTCTTTCTAAAATGCTCATTTATGACCACCATCACACCAGCCACTACACCATCACCATTAGCAATGCACACCGCACCACCACTACCGTTCCTCTTTCTCCATACGAAAAAACCCTAATTTGTATGTGCTTACAGGTTTTAAAAATTAAAATGAGAGTGCATTGAAATAGGTGACCTAAAAGATGAATGCACATGAAAATCCATCGTTGGAGGTAGGTTTTTCTCACTAATCTTTACTCTTCCTCAATGTTCTTTGAAATTTTACATTATATATTTCTCATCTGTACATGTACCAGAAGTTGTTTTCTATTTTCCGTTTAATTTCACCTAACTCGTTTCTTAAATGAGTTTTTTCCTAATCTTGTGGTCAATTTGTTTTCTATTTGGAATCACACCTGTTCATGTAGTTTTACAGAAGATGAAAACGACAACACCTGTAAATTGTAATTATACCCACAACGTCCCTGTTATCGTATTCTCATTGTAACACCCCCCTTTGGCACGTATCACAATATTGTCCGCTTTGGGCCACTCGGCACGAGGACTTCCCAGGGGGTCACCCATCCCGGTACTACTCCCGCCCGAGCACGCTTAACTGCAGAGTTCTTATGGGATCTGCTGCCCTCACGGCTTTAAAACGCGTTGTGATAGGGAAGGTATCCACACCCTTTATAAGGAATGCTTAGTTCTCCTTCCCAGCCGATGTGGGATCAGATCTAACCCACTTTCACCCCCCATTATAGGGTTCGACGTCCCTGTCGAACACATCGACCCGTGCCCTAGCTCTGATACCATTTGTAACACCCCCCTTTGGCACGTATCACAATATTGTCCGCTTTGGGCCACTCGGCACGAGGACTTCCCAGGGGGTCACCCATCCCGGTACTACTCCCGCCCGAGCACGCTTAACTGCAGAGTTCTTATGGGATCTGCTGCCCTCACGGCTTTAAAACGCGTTGTGATAGGGAAGGTATCCACACCCTTTATAAGGAATGCTTAGTTCTCCTTCCCAGCCGATGTGGGATCAGATCTAACCCACTTAAAGGCCTAATTGGAAACCTATTCCATGAAATCAGCGAAATTGTGATCCCACTTTTCATCACAGCGAAATTGTTATCGTATTCTCATTTGATCTAACTGGAAACAATCTTTTCCTGATATTCTGACAAGGGCAATGTGTCTTGAGAAACCAATAATTGCCCCTGACTTACCAATAATCAAGAATATGTAAGTCAACCTATCTCTATTACAAATTATCCTTTGACTTTTTTCAGTCAAACTTCTATTTGGGTGAAATTTATATGATCTTGTATTCTTTTTTTTGTTTAAACCACTAATTGTATTTCTTAAACCTAATTACTGTTTTTTCCACAAAAACTTCAATAAGTTCTGATTCATATCGTTTTCGAAATCGAAAATAGTTTGTTTGACTTTGTAAGTCAATGTATGACAAATTAATGTCAAACTTCTATAGACTCATATCATTATTTTTGAAGTAGAAAAAAGTTTGTTTGACTTCAAAAGTCAAAGTATACAAACTAATAATTTCATAACACATTTCAGGTTAATCACGGGGTAAATGGGCTTCTTTTTCCAAAGGAAAACAAAAAGGCGTTAACACAAATAACATTACAAGTGGAAATATCGGAAATTCCCTCCGATATCAAAACAAAGTGGCAATGGCATCTTTTTGAAGCTATTGAAGATTGTGAATACGTAAATAGAACTTTGAGGATTCATCATTTGTTAGACAAAGTCGAAGGTTAACGGAACCGTGCTCCAAGGGCAATTTCGGAAATTCCAACAAATGATTCCTTTATATACGATTTATGGGAAGAAGAAAAAAGAGACCAGATAATGAAAGCTAGAAGGGCAAGAGAAGACGATGAGGTAACGGGATGAAAATTGAAAAAAATCTCTTTTTCCTTATTTTGATTGATGTGAATTTACTTATTTGGCCTTTGTTATGTAGGTGAGAGATAGAAGTGAGCAACCAAGGGGGACATGGGAGGAAGTGTACAAAAATGCGAAAAAAGCTGATAGAAATAAGAATGATTTGCATGAGAGGGATGATGGGGAGCTTGAAAGAACAGGTCAACCGTTGTGCATCTATGAACCTTACTTTGGTCAAGGATCTTGGTCTTTTCTCCACACTAATTCTCTTTATCGGGGGATTAGACTCGTAAGTAGTTTCTGACTTTTTTGACTTTTTCATTATACATCTATGAAAACCCTTTTGGCTTTTTTGTCGATGTGTTTTTCATCAAAAATTTTTGGTTAAGTACAAAAGACCAAGATTTTCATTTCTGCACTCATATTAGTGTCAAATTCTAACTTTTGGAAACCATTTTTGGTCAAGGCATTGGCTTTTTTCTTCATAATGGCTTGTCATAAGCTGTTGTTTTGAGATGACCACATGCCTTCTTAATGTTCTTAGGTCATTTTACCTTTTATCAAACCTTTTGAACTGTTGGTCAAAGTTTGACTTTCTCGGTGTAATGTTTTCAAGGCTAGATCTGATTTTCACTTGTATGATTATGTCTTTTAGGTCATTTTGGCATTGGACAAACATGGGCTTTTACTGTGTCTATTGGTGTTATATTATACATCATATTTAAGCTTTTAGTGTTGAAAATTTTCTTTGATGTTTTGGAGTCAAACTTTGACTTTCTGGTCAATTCTTGATTTTTTAGTACAAAAAACAAGATTGCCACTTTTGAAACACCCTTTATTCATAAACGAACCAGGATCTAGTAATTTTAACCTTACATTCATCAGGGTCGAACTTTGATTTTTAGTAGAAAAAACCAAGATTGCCATTTTTGAAATACCTTTTATTTATTCACATAAAAACCATGATGAAGTAAGTAAATACATAAACATTTATGATTTATGAATTGATAATGATGGTAAATGTTGTAGTCAACAAAAAGTGGAAGACCAAGAAGAGATGACATTGATGCAGCTTCTCGTCTCCCTCTTCTTGAAAGTAAACTTATATTTAACGATTATATTTTGTAAAATGCAAGAATCTTTTTGGGAATTTCAGGCAGGGGAGTGCTTAAAAAGAGAAAAGGACAGAGTGTCTCATTATCTTCATTCCAACAGTGAGCCAAAGCTTCTTGAGGTTTGTTTTATCATTTTTTATTTTAAAATTTTGGGAAAGGAAGTTATTTATTACTTAAATACAGGACCATGATTTGATCTTGTTCTTGTTCTGATCTTCAGTCTTCCTATAGTTTCTTCATTATTAATTTTTCTGGAATCTTTTCTAGGTAGTCTTTGGTAATAGAACCGTAGATGTGGTGGTGGTGGTGGTTATCGTGGTGGTGCCCCAGTCAACCAAATCCAAACCTTAATTTAGCTGCTGCTAGGCTTACCCCTGGGTAAATGAGAGTCAAAAAGATGTTTTTGTCCCTCTTTGTTATTGTGAATCTGATTTTTTTTGGTGTAATTAGTGATATTGGTGGAGTTGAAGGACCTGATCGTATATTTGTTGGGGGTTTACTGTATTACTTTACTGAGGTACAGATAAGAGAGCTGCTAGAATCCTTTGGGTATATAGTTTTATAATTTTATGATTTTTTTTAAATATTTTTACAAAATGAAAGTTTAAAGAATTTTATTGATTCAGACCGCTGCGTGGGTTTGATCTTGTGAAGGATAGAGATACTGGAAACTCTAAAGGATATGGTTTATGTGTCTATGAGGTAATTATCACCCTTTTTGTCTTTAAATTAAACAATATGAATCTATAAATATTCTCAGTTTTTAAACATTTTTGCACCTTGTCCTAAGTTAATTTAAAAAAAGGGCGTTATTGTCAGTTATTCTTTCTTCCAATAAATATAAAATATTTGGGAGTTATTTTCAGGATCAAGCAGCCACAGATGTTGCCTGTGCTGCACTTAATGGCTTAAAAAAAGGGCGTTATTGTCAGTTATTCTTTCTTCCAATAAATATAAAATATTTGGGAGTTATTAAACAAATCTTTTTCGAAGGGTAAAAAGGTCATTTATCTTTCCATTTGTATTCCTTTCTTCTTACTCGTCCCTCACAAGCATGTCTTAGTCGTTGGTTACCTATTTAGACATTATATATGACAATGCGTATTATTGGTTAGGTGTCTGAGCTGGAATCTCAAATCGAGGTTGGATGATGATGAATTGAGCCCTGAACAAGTCAATGATGTTAAGGACTTCATTGGTGACTATGTGGCACGAAATTAGGTCATCATATACTTTTTTCCTTTTCACATTTTCTCAATAGTTTCTTTGAGGTTCTCTCCATTATACCACCTTGTCAAATTCAGGATAAAAGAATCTTGTGGTTTTCACTTTTCACAAAGCATCTAACAGTAAAACCACCACAAACCATTTCGTCTGTAGGAGGATTTTGATGAGTTTGAGGATGTTGATATGTTATATATACAACACCTTATCATTAGACAAAGTAGAAGCTCTAGAAGATCTTGTTATCATGCAACCCTTGGTCATGTGTTTGTATATTATTGGTCATGTGTTTGGGTGAAGGTCTGGATGGTGGTATGAATGGTGCATGTCTCAAAGTGTGTATTCCAATATCAAGTTAATCTACTCATATTAATTCATGTCTCAAATTGTGTATTCCAATATCAGGTATCATGATTTGTGTATTTACAAAATTTTGAAATAAGTTCTTGTTCAATGCTTTAGCTGTGTTTACTCTAAGGGAGATCAACTTATCAAAAGTAAGTTATTCTTTTCACCCTTTTATTTAATATTTTTGTGATTGAATGAAAGTATTAATGAAAGTAATTGACAACCCTTTTTCTGTAAATGATGTTGTGATTGTGGGAGAGGTGTTGTGTTTTTCTCTGTTGCTAGGTAACCTTTTCAACAACAGCATTCTACTTAAGCAGGTGAGTAATCAAGATTAAGGGAGACTTGTAATCATGTTTGGCATTCCTTTCCAGTAAGAAACAGAGTTGTATGATTATTTGTTAGTTTTATAGGAATGTATAACACATGTTAGCAATGTATTATTTTTGTTTAACATTTGAATGATTCTTTGTATGACATTATAACTTGTGCAATTTATTTTTTGAGTATGAAATTTTATTTTATATTATGCAATGGATTGTATTTTTTTATATGGTATTTTATTTCTATTATAAGAAATTAAATGCAAATTTAATTTAAAAATCAATAAATATATAATTTTTTTTTAAACATTTAAATTTACGATACGCAAAAATGTGTATCATCTTTATTTATGACACGACCTTTCTTGACAGGGGCTTTCTTGATACGCATTGCGTGTCATTAACACGCGCGTCGTAAGGTTACGACACGCGAATGCGTGTCGTCTTCCTTTATGACAGGGTCTTCCTTGATACGCATTGCGTGTCGTAAAAGCGCGTCGTAATTGCGCGTCATAAATGAGCGTCGTAAATGCGCGTCGTCTCTCTTTATGACAGGGCCTTCCTTGACGCGCATTTGCGCGTCGTCTGAGCCTTTTACGACGCGCAATGAGCGTCGTAAAAGGCTGTTTTTCTAGTAGTGATTTCGAAAATGTCGTTGTCCCATTGATTCAAAACCATTTCTATGAAAACTGTTTTTTGAAAACCTTTGGTTTTGATGATTAGGAGCAAAATTCTTTTGTTGTTGGTTTTTAACCAAATTCTCATTTCTTGGTTTTTGAACATTCGGTTTTTGAATTGGATTTGAAACATTTGACTTACTTTTTGAAAAATATTTTTGTTTTTGAGCAGGTTTGTTCTTAACAAAAGACTTGTTTTTAGGAAAGGTCTGAAATTGTTCAGTTACTGTCTGAACAAAAGATTTTTGAGAAATATCTTTTTGTTTCTTCAAATACTTGATAATTTTTCAATAAACCTTATTTCAAGCTTTTGACATCGAAATGCCTTCTTCTTTGGAAACTTTTCGAATTTTATCATTGAAAATTTGAGCTTTAGTCTTATGATTTTGAGAAACATGTTCAGTTGTTTGGTTGTTATCATTTACTTTTTCTTTCTTTACTTCCCAAACTCTTTTTTGTTTTTGTTATTGAAAAGTGGACGAGTTTTTGTTAAGATTGTTTTTTACTGTGCTTTGGTTTGAGAAAAACCCTTCTTTCGTTATTTCTTTGTTGTCTTCATCAACAATTTTGTTAATTTCAGGTTTCACCTTATCTCCATTTCCTGAGGTAACAAACACTTGATTGGGAAATACCACATCATCGGTGCATTTGAAGTTTGGATACACTACAGAGTTCAATTCAAGATAATAAGGCCGTTTTTCCTTCATCATCGTTACAAATTTCTCTGTTTCCTCATACACTTGATCAACAACAACTCTTGTAATAGTTGTTTCTCTTGGAACTTCTTCATCATCATTAACACTATCATTTTGACTATCTTCGACAATCACACAATCATAGTCATAAACTTTTGATGTTGAGGGTTGGTCAGGGTCAACTTTAACCAAAGAATCATCACAAATTTATTTACCCTTGCTTATCAAAGTAACATTAATGATAGATAACCGATAACAGTCAACAACTTCATCAACTTCAATTTCACTGATATTGATAGAATCATCTTCGATATTAGCAAAATTGTTTTGAGAGTCAAATGTCGAATTCTTAGTCTTTTTCAAAATTTTCATTTGTTCATTTTTGGTCAAGGTCTCATTCAATATATGAACCAGATCATTTGCATCTAAACATTCATCTATATTAACAATACCATATGCATATGAGTCATTTGGGACCTTGTCAAACTCAAAAATCTTTTTCTCACAGTTATAGGAAGTGGAATCTATCTTTTCCCTTTCGAATGTCAAAAAGGGAAAAAGTTTCCTATGGTATTCTTTACTTATGTCCGATGAATGATGTAAACCAGTCAATTTGGCATATAGTATTTTGGCCGAATTAAAATAAATGTTGTGTTGTTTTAGAAAAATACAATTATATATTCTCAAATTATCCCTATCACGCATAACATTATTTACTAGCAATTCTATGTTGTCTATTCTACTTCACTTCGAATCCAACCTTTTCTGTAATTCTAGCAGTAAATATTTTGATTTCTCAGCATCACTACTAATAGAAATAATCATGGCATTAATGTATGATAGATTATCATCGAAGTTAGATAGAATAGCATTACATGAACTGAAAGGAATATCAAAGCACCCAAGAACAGAACGTACCTTCGAACTCATTGGAGACTTGTCAGCACTAGTAGAAACGAAACACTTTCCTGTCACCTTCTCCTCATCCTCATCTCCCTCTTCACAATTTGCATACATGGATCCATGAGTAGGGTTTCGCGTTTCCTCATCGTCTGATTTAGATGACTAGTTCTAATAAGTACCATCCCCTTCGCCACTTCCTCTTGCAACTAGAGAAATCCCCTTCGTCCTAACCCTCACTTCTTCTAGCCTTTCAACATAATAGGCTTCTTCCTTCACCCTTTCCTTCTTCTCTTCTTTCTTACTCAACATACAATTGATTTCCATATGGTTTGCATCATTCCAGTAATGACTATCAAAACTAGAGTCACCCTTAAATTTCTTTTCTGGTTTCCCAACCTCAGACTTGTTTTCTTTCTTCTCCACCTTTATTTCCTCTCTCACATTCTTCCCAGATGAGTTTCCTTTGGAATCACTTCCTTTAAACTTCAGATTGAATGGATTTTTGTAAAACTTCTTGACTTTATTATTCAAATAATACGCCACAAATTCGTCATCCGAGTTCATGATAAAACCTTCATTCTTAGCAGACTCAACCATAGTTTCTTCCCCTGACACCTTCGAAATTAAAGCAAGAGGACCTCCCAAACTCATTTTTGCTTCTTCAACTAGTTCATTGATCTCACTTTCGTGAGCTTTCAGAACATTATAGAGATCACCCAGAGAATAGTAGTCAAAGCTTTGTTGAGTGTTGATCATAAGATTGATATTTATCCAGTCCTTTCGAAGTCCTATCAGAAAGGTCAAGTTGAATTCGAGAGTAGAATGATTGACTCCATATTGACTGCATTTGAATATTAATTCATTAAGATGATCATAATAGAGTTCAATATTCTCACCTTCCTTTTCTTCGTCATCTCACTCCCTTGATACTTGTCTTTCAAAGTATCCCAAATTTCTTTAACCGTTTTGCATCCACGAACATAGTTGTAAACTACCTGTGGAAGAGCACCATGTAGTTCATGCATCCATCGTTTGTCATTTGCTTTCTGTTTTTCAGCTTGATCAACAACATTAACAGATGAACCAGCAATTCCGACTTTTGAAAGCATTAATGGATGAAAGTTTCCACTCTTGATACATCGCCATAGATATTCATCTATCCCATTCAGATAATCTTCCATCCTATTAGTCCATTGTTTATAGTATCCTGGGATTAGCAAAGGAATTTTGATTGACGATCCAAGAATATGAGAAAATCCAGATATCGTGTTCATATTGAAGTTTTCCATTGTTTTATGAACTAGAATAATGAAAAGCTTCAAATATTGAAATTTGATGGACAAATCTTTATGAAAAATATCAAAGAATAGTCGATTGAACAAACAGAACACGGAATAAAATCAAATCTAATTATTAGATCAGGTTTTTAGATCGAAAATGTAGAAAACTTTTGAACCAGAAATCGCGATTCAAAAACTTTTGATAACGAGAGAAAAAAATCACTTGATAGAATCCTGCTCTGATACCAAATGTAGTTTGAATAAATCGAGTAAAGTGAAAGAAATCAACTAACAGATCTAATCGAGAACACATAATGTAAATACGATTTGTTTGGCTCTATAATCACTTCAGTCTGGCTACAGGAATGAGAGAGTAAAGTGCACAAAAGTTCTACAATCGTTACTTTTACCTTAATACTAATCCCTATTTATAGGAACAACTAAAGTGAACAAAAAAACATAAGGGTGTAAACATGAAAGTTTCGAAATCTAAGCTACCCTTATGAAATACATACATTCAAATCTAACATACAGACTTCAAATCTTAATAAGCTATAGTTCGACCCCTCATAACTAAATTCGAACCCAACAGTGAGTCTTCTAACTATACTTGTCGGTCGAAGGCACCAATGTTGTCCCACTGGATTTTGTTATTTAGGATGCTAGCTGTCTTTGTGACTCTTGCATCTATGATTGGGTTGAAAGAAACCACCAGGAATGGGCCCCAGGGTTAGGCCCATGATTGTATATTTAGGTTGAAAGAAACCCCAA